TTGGGCTTAGACCCAAGCCGGACGCAGAACAAGGACAGGCACGCAAGCGGGAGCTAAACTATGCCTCAGGTTGGTCGGCCATGCCCGACCTACCCACTATCCCTACTATACATTTGGAACCCCCCACAGCCCCCCCCCCTTGAGGGACACACGCTTTGGGCTTTCACCCCAAGCCTCCCTTAGTATCAGGAGTTAGTCTCTGGGACAAGCTCGAAACTTACTAAATATGGAATGTCCTTAGATTGCAAATTTGGACACGGGACGAACACCATTGTGTTCAGGCCGATCTCTACATTCCGTAGATATGCCAAATGAGCAAATCTGGACACTTTCCATAAATAGCATTTGGGACCGAAATGAGACTAACACAAAGGGCATGATAGCGAGGGTGTTTGGCAGACACGGTAAACTATCATCCAGCGATATTGAGGGACCAATCTCAATACGCGAGGGTTCTTGTCAAGCCAGTGCAAGACAGAGCAAAAGAGAACTAACAAGCCGGGCCAAGTATGCTCAGCTAAATAGACACTTAGGAATTCCTTCCTTATGCTCATCCGGCCAAGTACAGATGCAAAGTCCAGTTTACTAACACTTGAACAAGAGGGGCCAATAAAGGGAACCAGCAGTATCGACCTCCTGCCATCGTGGCAGTAAGGTAAGAGTGTCCGTAAGGACTAGTCGACAGGTAACTTTCGATACCCGAAGTCACATGCGCGACAGTCTGTGTTCACTCTAGTCTTGGACTTCCCAGTGGGCAGCTCATCACCCAGCACTGGGTCCGGCCTTCCTGGGAAAAACTGGCCTTTCCTGGCCAAACTGGCCTTTCCTGGCCAAACTGGCTCCACTGTAGTCCTCCCCTTGCTATACTTTTGGAGCTCACCAAACCCCCCAGGGTCTGGGAGACGAACGCTTTGGGCTTTCACCCTCTCAGGCTCCGGACTCGGACTCGGACTCGGACTCGGACTCGGACTCGGATTCGGGCTCAGTCTCGGGCTCGGGCTCGGTCTCGGCCTCGGGCTCGGGCTCGGTCTCGGTCCCGATCTCGGTCTCGGTCTTGGTCTCGGTCTCGGTCCCGGTCTCGGTCTCGACTTCGGACTCCATCTTGGACTCCATCTCGGACTCCATCTCGGGTCCATCTCGGACTCCATCTCGGACTCCATCTCGGGTCCATCTCGGGTCCATCTCGGGTCCATCTCGGACTCCATCTCGGACTCCATCTCGGGTCCATCTCGGACTCCATCTCGGACTCCATTTCGGGTCCATCTCGGGTCCACCTCGGACTCCATCTCGGACTCCATCTCGGACTCCATCTCGGGTCCATCTCGGACTCCACTTCGGACTCCAACTCGGGTCCATCTCGGACTCCACTTCGGACTCCAACTCGGGTCCATCTCGGACTCCACTTCGGACTCCAACTCGGGTCCATCTCGGACTCCACTTCGGACTCCAACTCGGGTCCATCTCGGACTCCACTTCGGACTCCAACTCGGGTCCATCTCGGACTCCACTTCGGACTCCAACTCGGGTCCATCTCGGACTCCACTTCGGACTCCAACTCGGGTCCATCTCGGACACTCCCACGTGTCATGTGTTGGTCCTTTTGGGTCCCTTTTTGGAGCCTCGCCTTTTGCTCGCTTCGTGCTCGTTCCTCGAGCACTTCGTTGGGAGTTCCACTCCCGCTCTTGACTTTTCAAGTCGGAGCTTTTGGTCCAAACGTGTTACGCTCGTTTGGCTCTCGCTTCGGCCACTACCATGTGGCGCCCTTCCAGCTCCACTTTGGGGCCTAGGGATTTTGTGTCTCACACTCATTCCACTCACAGCATTCCGTGTTGAAGAGAGCATCAAGACTGCTTGCTCCTCGGGTATTAACGCAGGCATCGACTTAGTATTCTAACAAAATCCCACAGTCAAGAGTTCTCCAAACTTTCAAAACACCACAACACTTACAAAGAATGGAATTTCATTTGTGTCGCCATCATGAACACTATTAGAAATTCACGATAAAACCTGCAGAAAAACTCTTTGGTATAGCAAAGAAAAGAGAAAAAAGTCTAAATGAAACCAACCAACCTCCGAGATTTCATTTGCATCACTGTATGGAGCAATATCCATCGATGCTAAATCTGGCTCCTCATAATTCAAACGCCACCAGGTATTGATTCTCTTCACCACCGGCTTTTGATGTTGGATCTCTTCTAAAACGTATCATCAAAATCCTTGCCACGTCTTGCAATTGGTACTGCCTCGGCCTGCAAGTCTCATGGACGGGTTCAGAAGGGAGGCAGTAATAGCAAAATTTCTGCACAAAAACAAGGATTAATTAACCAGCGAGCTATATAAGTATCCACCTTTTGCATTTCGCCGTCAAGCCATGATAGGCTCAAATGCTTGTCTTTGTATGCAGTGGCAGCAGCAAAATTTTGGCTATCAATGTCCTCACTTACACGAGCTCATCTTGCACAATTCTCATCGTCTAAAATGAGAAACTCGTCAGCTAGAAACAACAAGAAAGAAAATCTTACACTGCAGAGTTGATCAAGCTGAAAACCAGGCCTTCCAGCAACCACAATGCAGTACCATGTTTCTACATCTTTTCCAGCTGCAGAGAAGTCCGCGGGATCACATCCAAGTTTGGAAGCCGTGATGCTTTGCAGCTGAGGAAGAAATAAAAGCACGCACATCAAATTGCAATTCAAAAGATAGCAAAAGGAGGAAGAGCCTACATTGTACTTACCATGAACTTTATGTTCTTCCACAGTTTCCATGAAGGGGTCATGCAATTTACCTGCAATTTACCCGCAAAGTGAAAGAAATCATCTCAAAGCTGCCGAAAAGAAGATTTTTACCATAAACAGTTATGGGCTGGACACCTGGATCTTTGATGAAAACTACTGCCGGTGCCAACTCTAATCCAAACCTGCTCCACACGCAAAAGCATGAATCAATTCACGTGATTATCACTAAAACTACCGGCTTTTCAAAATCGAAGCTTCCTCTTGCCTCCACAAAACACATCTGAAAGACATCAACTCGGAGTCCTTCTTGGCCGCTTCTCTTCTGAATGGAAATGCACGCTCTTCTGTGTCAGAAAAAAGAATAAATTTCACCTAAAAAGAAGTGCAAAAGAGAGAGATTTTGATTAGCATCATAAAAAAAAATTTTATGCTACTATACCAGCACCTTATGCGGTCCAGGATTTTTAATGAACTCGGATCTGCGTGACTTTAGTCAGTGCTTGTTTTAGATTTTAGTGAAAATTGTGGCTACCTAGTTCTGAGAAGAATAATAACGAATGCGAGGAAGATCAAGAAGCAGCGTTGCTGTCCCAGTCCAGTATAGAATCGTAGCTGAGGCCTTTGGAGTACCTACAGTGTTCGTCAGGAAAAGCGGAACAAGGCTTCATGAATTTACCAAATCAGGCATTTTAATTCCCTACACCCCAGCGGCTTGGCAACAAGAGATGGAATTCCTGAAGGAAAAAATGAAAGAAAATAGGAGGTTTACGTGTTTACCATGGCATCTGATCCACCTCTTTCCTCCCAAGAGCTTTGTGAGTTGAACTTCTCCTAGCTCGACTCTCAAAAGATTAACTTGGCCTTCGAGAACTTCCACTGGAATCACGAACAGCATGGTTGGAAAAAACACAAACACGCAAAGCATTACCCAGTCTTCCCCATACTGGTGAGATCCCAAACTTGCCCAGTTTTTTTATTTTTCTGTTCATCTGCCACCTCTCATCTTTTACTGGATTTGATTGAAGCTGCCAAACCATACCAGCACTGTCAATTTCGCCTTCATCGCTGTCATTTCCCTTTCATCAGTGTCACTGTCGACCTCGTCCAAAAATGACAGACAGGAAGGGCCTTTTGCTCATCTCTTTTTCTTCTTCTGGAGCTGACGTTCCTCTTCCCTGCAACACAGATGGATTCAGACACATGGCCACAGAGATGGGATGTGGGCTTGCTTTTTCTACAGCTTCTCTTTCTCATCCTCCTCTATCTTGGTGTGCAAGTTGTCACTCTGCAGCAGCACAGAAATGAAACAAAGTGATGAAACAGGTCAGCTACCTTTTCCACTAACTACTCCCTGGAAGTCCAACAGTCTCTTGCACTCTCCAGAATCTGTGGCAGTGAGCTCTGGTAATGAGGAACAGAGAGCGCACCTCCACCCAGGCAGACATGTGCATCAATCGGATCCTGTTTGGAGAGCTTCCAAGGATGTTGCTTCCCAGCCTGAGCTCTTGCCTCTCCACCTATTCCAACCAGAACCTCGACTACATCTCCTAGAGCTACACAAAGCAAGCTGTACAGGCATATCCAAAGATGGTAGTCATTTTTTTTTCTAAAACAAAACTCACTGGATTTTGTTGCGATGCCATTGATCAGCTTCACTGGACTGGAAAAATGCTGCAAGGCACCCTGGATTTGCTTGAATGTTAGAGTACCTAGAGAAGCAGTAAATTTGTTTTTTCTTCTGAGCAATACCTGTATCGTCCAGAAATTCTGAAACAAAAATCACCTCTGATGTCACCTTCTTCTTGAGGTCTTGGATGTACAGTATATGGGACGGGAAAGTTCTACTTCCGATGCGCTTCTTCTCCCACAATAAAATTTTAGCATCCAATATGCTCCAGATACGGACAGCCATATTAACCGTTTCTTAAACCTAAAACCAAGCTCTTTGCCACCATGTAACAATCCGCACCATTGCTTTGGAGCGTCACAAATCTGGATCGTTGAATTGAGAGCATCTGCCATAAGTAAAAATGGATATTCGAAAAATGGAATATGTGACGCCGATGCCAAAATAGCAACTTTAAATAAAGAGTTTGATGATGCTTATAATCTAACGGTTGAAATTCAAAGCCTTCAAATAGATGGCAAAGATCAGGTGCCAAAAGGGTGGCAACGCTTCAATTTTGATTTTAATGACGCTCCAAATCAAGTGAAATTTCTTAGGGCGTTCAGCCAGATTGTAAGCGCTCTGTGTGTGTGTCAAGGATGTGTCAAGGACATGTCAAGGATGTGTCCAAGCTTGCTAAGGGCAACATGCTGCTTGCGCTATTGGTGAACAACCAATCAAGGTAGATTGAAAATTCTTTACTTTTTTCTGAAGACAATTTGCAGGGACTGCTGAATCCTGCAGCTATGGCTAGGGCTGGCGCTTGGAGAAGCTTTGACGAACCTTGTTTGGGCTAAGGTACTCTCATCTTAATTGTGTTTACACACCTTATGATCTGTTTAGCTTTGCAGGCTGAACTTGATTCCGACATATATGTACAATCCTGCTGTTGCTCTTCGTGACACTATGATCGAGCTTGAGGTTGCAATAGAAGGTGGAAAGGACAGCTTGTCAATGGCTGCTCAAGCAGGTGGTGAAACTGTCAAGGCACCTGGGAATCTTGTCATTAGTCGTATGTGACTTGTTCAGACATTACACTCATCATCACCCCTGATTTAAAGGTACTGAAATTCATATCCTTTCATTCAAATAATATATTCTAATATTCTCTTTTATCTTCATCCAAAGATAATAATTGCATTAGAGATATAATATTTGTATTAGGACAAACCTGTACTAATGCTTCATGATAAAACTATGCATTCATGTCTACTATATGACATGGTATCTAATATAGTATGAGATATCTCATACACATACAAATATCAAATCCATATCTTAATAATATCTCAAAATTAAGCAAAATATTTTATATTTTTAATGAGTCTTCTTGCTCATAATCTTACTTGAATCTACCAGCAGCTTTACATGAGTTTTATCTTTTGTCTCAATATTGATGAAATGATTTATTTTCTATAGTTAAAACGTATGGTTTACATAAGTCTTTTGATCTTGCTCTAGATTTCTTCTGCATTTGTATTATCTCAGTCCCTATCAAAACATAAGGAAAATATCTTATTGGTCCAAAATGGTCAATTAAGTATTTAAAAGAATAATTTTTAAAGGTTTCTAAAAAGAGCAAACCCATATATCACATGTGTGAGAGAAAAACAACTCTGCTGGGAAATAAATTTTTTTATAGAAATAAGAATTTAAATGTTAAAAAGAGTGGCCAAAACGAACTTCTCATGAAAAGAGATTCAGATTAAAAATAAGTACAACAATTTGAATATAAATATCTAGATTGTTAGGAATAAAGTTTAAAATAATAAACACATGAGGATTATAATTAAATGATATCATGCTAGAAGTTATGATTATAAAAGCTTATGAAAGTTATGTCTTCAAAAGCTTTAATCAAGTTTGAAACTTGCAATAATTTATTCAAGGTTGTCTCTAGCTAATGGATTTTAAATCATATAAAGCTAAAAATCTAGAAAATATTAGTTCAAAAATAAAATTAAAATTATATTATTAAACACAGAAATAATCTAAAGGAGAACATGATTATCAACAAACATAGATTATAAAACCTATTAATATATTTTATAAACATAGATCTAGCACTTAAATAATAATATTATTATATTTTGTTTATGGTACTATATTTAATAGATTATAATAACATGATCAATGCTGAGAGCAATGAAAACTAGTGATTAATGTCCCAGCTATGCATCGTGTTTATTCCTAATGTTTTAGTAATTTCAAAGAGTTGTAATTGTAATTGTAATTTTTAACATAATCATAATGATAACATACACAGTTAAACATAATATAATATTTATATTAAAAATCCATTCTACAATTGAATCTATCACTAACACACTCATAACATAATAAATATAACTCATAATATTATATCACATTTAAAATTCTAATCGTTGAGTGAAGTCTTCTATTGTAGTCTTATATTGTATTTTCTATTGTATCTACTATATACTATATTGGTACAACAAAATTATGTTTAATTTCAATAATGTAGTATTGAATCAATAAATCTTTGTTCTATAAAGGTTTCATTCTATAGAACAATGAGTATGCTGAAATATTTGTTGGGAGATATAGCATACCCAAGATAAATAGATCTTCTTTTCTAATTTTATAATGTTAGTAATTCTGATTGTATACAAAGTTTAATTTATATTAATTTTGCTACTATTCATCTACAGAGAAATGGAAAATAATGCAATTAGATAATAATGCAAATGTTGGGGAAGAGAAGATCATATTTTAATCATCACTAAATTTGATTTTGAATTCTCTTATTGCCTTCATAAAACGGTACACAAACCTAAACACATCTACAAGATTGCTGGCATAATTTAAAAGAAATTCAGTTTTCATAAAACCAAAGAATTATATACTACCAAAACATAATAGGTTAATTTTCAGAAATTATAATTTTGATTGCATATTCAGATAATGTGTTTTTATTTGAACTGTAATAATACCTTTAACATTAATTCTATCTTAACTGTAATGATGCCTCTAACTAAGTAAAGAATGTTGTAGAAAACTCTACTCTTGTAGACTAAATATGATTTATATAATTAATTACACTTATAAAAATCTTCCAAAACTAATGAAATGTTTTTAGTTTTCTTCATGAATGTACATGTTTTGGATATTTATCTTATCAACAATTTATTTGAATAGAAAAAATAACTTAGTTTCTAATATTTTTACTAATTTATATTTCACAATAATAATACACTTTTGTTTTAGTACTTGCTCCAAATACTCCACTATCTGGTTTTTAACTAAAAAATCTTTTACTCTAAATATTAATTGTATTATTAATTTTCAAATCCACTTTTCAGTATTTTTAATATATTTTTCATCTTCTAAAATCCATCTCTGACACTTAAATTCTATTGCCACTATTTACATCCCTTGGAGTTGAAACTGAAAATTCTAAATAACACATTTTGTTCAAGAGTGCTAAATACAAACTTCTATGAGTATCATTTGATTTCTGTTGAAAACATATTTTTATGCATATATTTAAAGAAGGTGGGAATATGTTGATATTATATGTGGATTTAGCATATATAACAAAAGCATGTAATTATTTTTATTGATCTTGAAGTGAGATATAAGATTAAAATAAATAATTAGATTATAATAGTCTGAAAATAAATATAGAAAGAATCATGATGAAAAAGTTTGAAGGATTTCCTTCATATTGGGTTTAGTATTCTTATGTTTTGTAAAAAAGCCGTAATTGATTCTTTCTAGGATGAAATTATTGTTAATGAAAGCATATCACTGTTGATTACAATTAGTTACACAACACTACCAGTAAATCAATCTAGTAGGAAATGTTAGCAATTAACATAGAAAATAAGATTATATATTCATAATAAGATTTAAATTTGTTATATATATTTTTTTAAAATTATTTTATCCAATCTAGGTCATCACTCTCTTGTTTTATAAATTAGATTTTTCAAACCTAGATTATATTGTACATAAAACTCAAAATTATATAATTAGATCTAACATACAACTATATACATGAATAACTAAAATATATTTTTTATTGCAAGAACAACTGCTTCCTTCTAACTGAAGAAATTTTTGGCTTTATTAAATACTATAGAATACCATTATCTACATAAAATATAAAAACTTTTTTTAAAGAAAATTATTAAAAAAGAAACATATTTTCAGCTGGGATATATATCAGTTGTAAGATGGATGTTGTAGAAAATGCTAATCTTGAAGACTAAAATTGTTTTAGAAAATTATTCATACTTATAAAGATACTAAAATATAATGATATTTTATTATATCTTCCTTCGGATGGAGCTTCGCTTTCTTCAACTTCTTTGATTCCTGTTACAGGTGGTTATGGAGCTGGGAGGCAATGCTCCATGCTTAGTGGAAGATCTCGTTCTACACTTGGAAGGTACAATCGCTAGGTTGATCCATGAGGGATTCTATCAGAGCGGCCAGTTGTGCATTCACATGCAGCGTCTTTAGGTGAAAGGTGAGGTATCCAACACTTGTCTTTAAATTCTATCATATTCTTTGTTCTCAAATCGAGCTTTGATCTACGTATTTGGTGCTGGTTGTGTAGGTGAACGATGCATTGATCGCTGCCGTTAAGAAACTCAATGGTGGAGATCCTCGCCAAGATGACACGTCAATCAGGCCCATGATATCTGAGTCTTCAGCAGCTACAGTGGAGAAGAGTGTGAACGAGGCAGTGAAGGCAGGCACCAAACTTTTAGTTGGTGGTAAGCAAAGGGGAGCTTTCATGGAGCCAATGATCCTGGAAGATGCTCCCTTTGACACGGACACAAGGAAGGAAGAGATTTTCAGTCCCGTGATCCTTCTCTACTCATACAAGTCAGCTCTCAAAGTTTCTTAGCTCCTGAAGTTCTTCTTTACTTCCTTTTCTTTTCTCTAAACTTAAACGGTGGTGACGCAGTGATTTCAAGGAAGCCGTGATGGAAGCTAACAGCACGCATTACGGACTCCAAGCCGGCATCTTTATGTGTGATCAAAACAAGGCCTTCTATGCGTTTGAGCATATAGAGGTAGCTTTGCGTTTGAGATATAGAAAGTATTGATCGACTGTTTGATAATTATTTGATCCTCACAGGCTGGAGGAGTTTGCCTCAACAATTCGCCAAGCATGTGCGTTGATAGCCAGTCATACAGTGGGATCAAAGACTCTGGAATCCAACGAGAGGGTGTCAAGTACGTGATGGACGACATGCTCGAAACCAAAGTTTTAGTCATGTGCAATGTAGGCAACGCATCTTACTTTTGTTCAAGCTCGAGCTCGAGCTTTTGAGAAGAGTAAATACAGTCTATCCACAAATCATTGCCAAGTTGTCCTGGTTTGCTCGCTCGCTCTCTAGCACCATCAACCTTTTACCTTTAGGATGGAGAATGCTTGTCTATAAAGTCCTGGGAGAAGGTCCATAGCTTGTGAGCAAGCTCGGGATCTCTCCCATAAGCGCTACAGTTGGATTTGTTGGAATCCACGAAGTATTGCCCAGTGACGTCCTTGAGACTTGGATGTAAAGCCGCGTAGCACGTTGTAGCAGCGCCCTGAGAGATCAATCACATATTAGTCACGAAAAACTTCCAGATTATTGGGAGAATTCTTCTTATCTGTGGCACATTTTTCCAAAGGAAGCTGGAGAAGAACTTGAGAACCCCTGCATGAAGATCAAAGTTCCATAAGTAACCAAAAACAAACTCATTATGTAGAGTGTGTATGGCATCAAAGTAGATATAGTTTAAGATTTGTGTGATATCATAAAGTTATAATACTGTTTTTAAGAGTAATCTTTTTGTGCATTGATACATGAAAATATAAAAATAAATACAATGGTGTAAAGGTAAAAATATGATTGAGACAACATTAAACACAATACAAAAGGCTACCATCTTAAAAAATGTGATTCATCATCACCTAAGCTTTTATTATTATTAAATCAATCTATGGACCATAGTTAAATTTTCTGATATATTATTTTCTTTGGAAAAAAAGATTATGTATCATCAACATCCTAATATCAGAGTAAAACCTTACCTCCTTTCATTGAGGCAAACAAACGAGGCAAAGAGACAAGCTCATTATGTAGAGTGTGCACTGCATCAAAGGTGTCATTATGAACCCTGGATGAACAGCGTTGGCTGTGATGTCAACTCCTTCGGCCTAATCAGCGAAAGAGAAAGCATTGACTAATACCTTGAATCTCATTGCCAGTTCTTTGGCGTGGAAGATGTTCGCGAGCTTGGATTGACTGTATGCTCTAGTGTTGGAGTACCTTTTGGAAGAAAAAAGGAAGAATGTAAGCTCACGAGAAGAAAAGAGAGCTGTTTGGTGTACTAATGACAAGATTCCCAGGTGCCTTGACAGTTTCACCACCTGCTTGAGCAGCCATTGACAAGCTGTCCTTTCCACCTTCTATTGTGACCTCAAGCTCGATCATAGTGTTGTGAAGAGCAACAGCAGCATTGTACATATGTGCTCCTTCGGAATCAAGCTCAACCTGCAAAGTTAAACATATCATAAGGTGAAATATCCTTGACAAAAAAAAAGTTCTGACTGAGCTGCAGGATGCTCATCAATGCTCTGGTATCAATTTATATTCCAGCAGAGTTGGGGTCTCTGCTATAGTAGTTCTGCACAATAGGAATAAAGTGGGTAGGTAGAGAACAAAAATAAGTGGCGTTAGAGAGTAACTGAGGATCAAACGAAACAAACCTCGCCATGTAAGATTGCACTGCCTGAGCAAAGCTAGGCTTGTACGAAAAGAGCAGCCCACGGAAGAGCTTCCCATCAATGGAGGCTTCTAGTTGAATACATTGCTTACTCTAGCCTCAAACATCTTCTCGCCTAGCGGCTGAACATGAGCTTGAAACTCTGTAGCATGAGTTTGACAGGTAAGAATTGGAGAGGTCCAAGGTTTTCCGCAGAAACCTCCGTGAGACGAAACCAAGCTCTTGTCCACATCCTGTTGCTTGTCTAGCATGAATGGCATGGCATGATACTCTTGCCACCTTCTCTTAAGTTCCTTATGCATGGATAGCTTTGGTTCTGATGGATCTTTCTCCCTCAGCATCTCTTCACAGAAAAACGGCAACCATATTGTCAAGAATGGCAGCAATGTCAATAAAAGAAGAAGCCAACCTGTGCTGAGAAAATACATATCATCCAGAGCTTCAAGCTCTTCGTTACATCCCCCATAGAAGAATAATATGCCTCGCTCTGCGTTCACAGAATCTCCTGCAAGGGAGAAACGTGGAGAAGGCCCAGGACCAGAGGGATTCGAAGTCGCCCAAACACCAGTCGCTACAAAATACGTAAAAGCCCCATGAGAGACCAACAGGAAACAAATCTACCTACAAGCGCACATACTTAAGTCAAGAGTATGGACGTCATTGAATAGCTTGCGATCATCGGAGAATCCTCCAAACACGACGAGATACTTTCCATGGCTGATTGTTGTGTGCCTGGCTCTTGGCTAAACTTGTGAATTCATTTGCGTTTCCAGAAACAATGGCATGGCGGGAGGTAAAGACGACTGGTGCCGAGCTGATGCCAGCACAATGTATATACCTGTGTCCAGAATATGAACGTCGTTTAGATAGGCATTACCACCGTCCTTGCCACCCATGACAACGAAACAGTTCTTATAGGAAGAGCAGGTATGGCTATCCCGAGGAATAGGCAAGACTCCAGTGGTAGAAATCTTCTTCCAGACAAAAGTATCTACAGGGAAAAAAAAAGTTTAGAAGAAAACAAGGAAAGATAACAGGATATTACTCGTGTTCAAAACATGGAGGTCGTTGTAGTACTCCTCCTCTGAGGGATCACTGGATTTCCCTCATCTCCCAAACACGAACAGGTTGTCACCAATGAGAGACGTGCTATGTCCTTCTCTCAGAGCAGGAACATCACCAAAAACGTCGGGTTTCCCCCAGGTGTTGGTAGCTGCATTGTTGATAAGAACAAGAAAAAAAAATCGATAAAACTCAGAGGTTACCAGTATCCAAAACAAAGAGATCGTCGAGCGGGCTGGTTCCATCGGTACCACCAAACACATAGAGCTTAGACCCGACGGCCATGGAGCTGTGGCTGTCCCAAGGAGAAGGGTGCATTCCTTTCATCACAGGCTTGCTCCAGGTTTACATCCCTGCGCGATCCCACCAAAAACATGATCAAAACCATATTTTTCAGAAAACCCAGAAGAGGAAACTTATACCAATGTCGAAGACGTGAACATCGTTGGTCTGGCACTCGTCCCGGCCATAGCCACTGAAAATGTAGATGAGATTCCTGACCGCATTGCAGGTGTGGCCCCATTTGCACCCCGGCTGCTGCTGCTGGAGCTGATCGCTGGATCGACGAGGCGCCCACTTCATCTTTACCCTAAAATACAAGTGTAAAAGAGAGACTACAGGGTTTATAGCGCTGCAAAATAGGAATCACTCTCAATGTGGTTCCAGCCTCAAGCACCTGGAACAAACTGGAACTTTAAGCCTCGAAAGAGAATAGGGAAGAAGCAAGAGAGTGAAATAGTATATGAATTTACTATGAATGAATGAAGCCAGTGCCACCCAAGAGAGAGAGAGAGAGAGAGAGAGAGATTGCAGTTTACAATCTGCCTGAACGTCCTAAAAATTCACTTGATTTGGAAGGTCATTCAATTCAAAGTTGAAGAGTTGCCACCCCTTTGGTATGCCATCTATTTGAAGTTTTTGAATTTGAACCGTTAGATTATAAGTATATTCAGAAATAATATTCTAAAAATGGAATAAAAGATGCCAGATGCCATATGCCAATAGCATGTTTAAATAAGGGAGTAAGACTAGCAAAAGTCCCAGCTACGCTGGGAGCATTGTCTTTATTTTTGATATTTTAATAATTTCAAAGAGTTGTAAGCGTAATTGTAATTTTAACATAATCATAATTATAAGATATATAGTTAAACATAACATAATCTTTATATTAAAAATCTCTTCTACAATTGATTCTATCACCAACACACATCATAACATAAAAAATATAACTCAGTACATTATATCATATTTAAAATTCTGATTGTTGAGTGAAGTCTTGGATATTCGATAAATGGAATTTCTTACCATGGGATCCCATGGCCAGATGAGTCATTTGTTTAATAACTAATTTTTTATTTTATTTGAAATCTCTATATAATTGATAAAATTATTATTATTTGATGATTTATTAAACTCTATAATTTTTCCTCCTAATAACGTATGTGTTACTTAACTACACTCAAATATAATTATGTTAAAAATATATATAATATATATTTAAAAACTCAGCTAAAGAGTATACATCTTTTAAATTAAAAACATATAAACATTATTATGGAGTTTCTCTTTTCATCATTTCAGACTGAAAGTTTTGGAATTTCATAATAATAAGTGAAAGATGTTAGCTTTATGTGTTATATTTTCTTTTATAAAATTATAATATTTTACATATTTATCATTGATATTCCATTTTTACCTAGTATTTATATTCATGCATTTTGAGAGTAATATTTAAAATAGAAAGTATTCTATTATATATCATAAACATTATTTCTGTAGTTATTTTTATAAATCTGAAATAAGATTATTATCTCCCTATATTCATGTATTTATATTTAAAATTAAGGCTTTATAACACTGTTATGAATGCTGAAATTTTATGATGATAAATGAATGGTAATGTTTTACTCTATACTGGGGTAGAGGAGGGTTTGATGATATATAAACTTTTCTTTATGCTAGAACTATAATATATCAAAAAATTCATGAATGGTATATAGAAGGTTTAATATAATATAATTAAATTTCTTTATATGGTCCATGTACTAATGTTGTCTCAATCATATTAATACCTTATTAAGTTTTTCATGTATAAATGCAATGTAGGATAAAGTGGTAGAAAATTTATGATATTATATAAATCTTAGGCTACATCTTAGCCAATTGACATCTCAATATTTTTAATTTCATTTATATTTATATTAATAAATAACATAAGATTACTAATAAGAAAATATTTTAATAATAAGAGATAAATAATAAGAGGTAGGCAGTGCTAGGAATTGCAAGAGCAAGAGGGGGGTTGTCATGGTCAGAAGAAAATCAACACCAAGAAAGCTAGGGTGAAGATCAGGTGCGGCTTTCCTTTGCAGTTAATAGAGTAGGAATTGATCCATGAAGAATTGCATGAAGAATTGCTGTAGATTAGACTTTATAGAATAAAAGTAATATTAGTCTATGGAAAAATTGTTATTAGTATTTGAAAAGACCAGTTTGACATAAAAGGATCAAAATCATCATGTTCCAACTGTCATGCAAAGTGTTCCATCAAAGGAGCAACAGGCTACTGAGGACTACCTTGTTCAACTCTTTGAAGCCATCAATTTATGTGTTCTTCATGGCAAAAGAGTCACAATAAGTCAGTATTTAAATAACACACACAAAAAGATTATAGAATTTATCAGCCAGATTGAAAATTATACATTTAACCTGTCGGCTTAGAGGAACCTTGGAGCATTTCATTTGGTACTGCATTTCTTTTTCTTGCAAGTTCACTTAGAGTTTACCATGCAGCTTATACTTATTGATTAGAATCCTCAAATTTTCTTAGAAAATTTCTGCTACTTTCAGGCATAAATCACTGTTAATTTCAGGCATCCTCAACTACATATTTTTTGGGAAATTAAATTTAGTATCAGCACAAGATCTTACCTGGAAAGAGATGTAATTAAAAGTAAAAGTAAAATAACATACTTTGACTAATAAGAAAATATTTTACACAACAGATATTTAGAGATATTAACTCCTCTATTTTAAGTTATAAAATATCATATTTTTATAGAAAATATTTTATTTATATTTTAATTTAGATATTTTATTTTGTCTTTATTGTATTTAGTATTTTTAAAATTAATTTAAACTTATTCTCTAAAATTACATTATATTTTTATTTTAGAATTTTTTTCCATATTTGTATTCGATATCCTATCCCTTCAAAATATCATAATTTTTAGAAGTACTATCTAAAATTTAAAGTATTATATTTTATATTATTAAGATTCTTTCTGTATATGTTTTTATATAGAGAGAATGCTACAATGAATTAAGATTATTACATTTATGTTTAATTTATTTTTATATAAATTTACAATGAGGCTAAAATCTTTCAATGAAAGGTAAGTTTTTATCCTGATATTATGGTATTGATGATTCATAATATTTTTTTTTCCTAAAACCATAACATATCAGAAAATGAAAAAATGGTCCATAGATTGCTTTATTAATAATAAAATTTTAAGTGATGATGAATCACATTTTTTAAGATGGTAGCCTTTTGTATTGTGTCTAATGTTGTCTCAATGATATTTTAGTTATCTGTTTTCCATGTATCAATGGAAAAATTATTAGTGTAAATAACAAACTTATTAGATATTCATCAATGAATCTACTCATATTGAGTTTTCTATGAACTCAGATATAGTCTCATATTTATGCAATATCATAAAGTTATAAATCATAAGATTATGATAAAAGTATAACTTATTTACAACTCTTCTATTTTAAGTTATAAAATATATCATTTCTATAGTCACTACTTTATTTACTTTTAACTTTTGAATTCATCAGATACTCTTTGTTCTATAAAGTTTTTGTTCTAGAAGAAAGAGTCTTTCATTGATTCTATATATTTTTGAACATATTTTTTGTTTTAAAAATATCATATATAGTAGACATAATAAAAAACTTCATCAATGAATACCATCTTTGTACAACTAAATGTTTAAAATCATTTGAACCTAGTGCATTATATCATCTTGGATCAGTTGTCCAATTGCCTTTTATATGTATTACAATATCACTTATGCCTCCTTGAATATTTGTTGAATTTAACTCTTCATTCTCTATTTCTTACCATTTTTTGAATGCATTAGCATAGGGATTTATCTCTTTTAATAATTTATCAAGACCACCCATTAGTTGCTCATTGCATTTATAATTATGTTTGTTTTTTGATTTTTATTTCCGTTTCTTTAGCAGTATTCTAAAATATTTCATTGTGAATAAGGTTCATATTTTTCATTATTTGGTTTGAAACTTCCAATATTATATTAAATTTATATATATAGATTAAAATAATTAGGGCCACCTACTGCAATGATCAATGAGGCTCTTTAGTTTAAATATATTGGATGATTAGTGAAAGATCTCGATTCAACTTTGGTCTTTATTTATATATCAATAAACGTTTTACAATTCTTTCTTTACATTTCAACTCCCTTGCTTTCCTTTTCATTCCAACTTGTTTTCATCAAAAAAGAAAAACGCAAGCAAATGAAGTTAGAAATGGTGAAAAGGAAATAGGAACTTGCTGCTGGCATTTTCTTTTATGCCGCTCGAACTTTCTTCATGCCCAAGTCGTTCTCAAGGCCGAGAGCACTCTTTTTTACACCACTCCTTCACATCTTGTCGATCTTAATGCTGCAATTTTTGACAAATCCATGGGTGTTGCCAGTTGGCATAACATCATATTCTGCAAGCATTGTTTTTGCCCATATTAGTTTCCAAACAAATCTCCACATTAGTGGTAAACGGTATGAGTTCTTGATTTCCAGTAGCATTTGCTACAATTACATCCCCTTCTAAAATGGCATCGATAGTTTTATGCTTTCTTTTGTGTCCCATTTCCAGCTAGTTATTTCAATTTGTATAATAGGCTAGTAGTTTCAGCAAAGTAGAATAGCTTTGGTAGGTGTTAGTTCTGTTTAGCTCGTCATGCAACGATGCAGTTTCTTATCGATAAGTTTTTTTGGTTTTTTTTCTGTTTTATATTCAAGCAAACATAGCAATAGCACAATAGAATAGAGATTCTTGTATGTGCAGGTCACTCTTCTGAACTGTTTTCTGCCTGCACGCTTCCTTTTGAATGTTTTAAGCGTTTTTTAGGATCGTGATCTGGAATGACATATAGACATTTTGTTTTTTACCTAAAACCTTTACGAGAGAGAGCAAAACACTAAATAAAATCAAACACAGAAATCATTTCTATGCCCTGAGTTAATGTACAAATATCATGTACCGAATCAAACCAAGCTCATGGCTTCAAAGTTGTGTCTATAAACACGTACATACACAACAGTTTATTTAATGCTGTCTTATTCCTTTAGAAATGGCTTTTTTAAAAACAGTTCATGGCTTTGTCTGTAAGAAAGTAGAGTAGGCTGCCATGTAGAGCTCCAATCCTTGTTCTCCACCACCTCAGCTGCCATGTACTTCGCTGTGGTGATATCTCCTAAAGGTGCTCACCACTTTGTCGTGCATGTTTAGCTTGGAAAGGATGTTGTCAAGCTTGAGATCCTGGTGAACCACGCCCCTCAAATAAATCTATTTGAAGGTCTTTACCAGCTGCTTGATGATTAATCTTCTCGCAAATATGCTATATTTAAAAGACCAAATAATTATGGAATAACGCCTTAAGAAAGGGAGGCAATATTTCCACCAACGAATGTAACCACTTGAGGAAAAGCCCTGTCCAAAAGGAGACTCGGACAACACCACAAAGTCGGCAAACTTTCCTTGCATCAGCAACCCAATGCAGCTGCATACACACGGTTTGGCCTTTACTACGGCCTTTTGGACGTCCTGTGGTTTCCTCCTGTGATGTTTTCCTTCCTGGCATTAGAGAGTAACTGAGGATCAAACGAAACAAACCTTGCCATGTAAGTTTGCACTGCCTGAGCAAAGCCAGGCTTGTACAAGAAGAGCAGCCCACGGAAGAGTTTCCCATCGATGGAGGCTTCTAGCATGTATCCGTAGTTGAATACGTCGCTTTCTCTAGCCTCGAACATCTTCTTGCCTAGTGGCTGAACGTGAGCTTGAAACTCTGTAGCATGAGTTTGACAGGGAAAAATTGGAGAGGTCCAAGGTTTTCCGCAGATACCTCCGTGAGATGAAACCAAGCTCTTGTCCGCATCCCCGTTGCTTGTCTAGCATGAATGGCATGGCACGATACTCTTTGCCACCTTCTCTTAAGTTCCTTACGCATGGATAGCTTTGGTTCTGATGGATCTTTCTCCCTCAGCATCTCTTCACAGAAAAACGGCAACCATATTGTCAAGAATGGCAGCAATGTCAATAAAAGAAGAAGCCAACCTGTGTCGAGGAAATACATGTCATCCAGAGCTTCAAGCTCTTTGTTACATCCCTCATAGACGAATAATATGCCTCGCTCTGCGTCCACAGAATCTCCTGCAAGGGAGAAACGTGGAGCAGGCCTAGAACCAGAGGGATTCGAAGTCGCCCAAACACCAGTCGCTGCAAAATACGTAAAAGCCCCATGAGAGACCAACAGGAAACAAATCTACCTACAAGCGAGATACTTTCCATGGCTGATTGTTGTATGCCCGGCTCTTGGCATCAGCTTGGCACCAGTCGTCTTTACCTCCCGCCATGCCATTGTTTCTGGATTACCACTGTCCTTGACAACGAAACAGTTCTTATAGGAAGAGCAGGTATGGCTATCCTGAGGAATAGGCGAGACTCCAGTGGTAGAAATCTTCTTCCAGACAAAAGTATCTACAGGGATAAAAAAAATTTAGAAGAAAACAAGGAAAGATAACAGGATATTACTCGTGTCCAAAACATGGAGGAGGGATCGCTGGATTTCTCACATCCCCCAAACACGAACAGGTTGTCACCATGAGAGACGCGCTATGTCCTTCTCTCGGACCAAAAACGTCAGGTTTCCCCAAGGTGTTGGTAGCTGCATCGGATGATAAGAACGAGAAAAAAAAATCGATAGAACTCGGAGCTTACCATTATCCAAAACAAAGAGATCGTCAAGCGGGCTGGTTCCATTGGTATCACCAAACACATAGAGCTTAGACCCGACGGCCGTGGAGCTGTGGCTGTCCTGAGGAGAAGGGTGCGTTCCTTTTATCACAGGCTTGCTCCAGGTGTACATCCCTGCGCGGTCCCACCAAAAACATGATTAAAACCATTTTTTCCGGAAAACCCAGAAGAGGAAACTTATACCAAAGTCGAAGACGTGCACATCGTTGGTCTGGCACTCATCCCACCCGTAGCCACTGAAGTGAACCATGGGCGAAAATTTCTTTTTTTTCTCTTGGTTCCAGCCTTGAGCACCTGGAACAAACAGGAACTTTAAGCCTCGAAAGAGAATAGCAAAGAGCAAGAGAGTGAAAAACCTTGATTCTAGTCGTGGTTCCAGCCTCTGAGAACCTGGAACAAACAGGGACTTGAGAGACTCGAAAAAATAGAGCTTAGACCCGACGGCCGTGGAGCTGTGGCTGTCCCGAGGAGAAGGGTGCGTTCCTTTTATCACAGGCTTGCTCCAGGTGTACATCCCTGCGTGATCCCACCAAAAACATGATCAAAACCATTTTTTCCGGAAAACCCAGAAGAGGAAACTTATACCGAAGTCGAAGACGTGCACATCGTTGGTCTGGCACTCGTCCCAGCCATAGCCACTGAAGTGAACCATGGGCGAAATTTTTTTTTTTTTCTCTTGGTTCCAGCCTTGAGCACCTGGAACAAACAGGAACTTTAAGCCTCGAAAGAGAATAGCAAAGAGCAAGAGAGTGAAAAACCTTGATTCTAGTCGTGGTTCCAGCCTCGAGAACCTGGAACAAACAGGGACTTGAGAGACTCGAAAAAAGATTGTCATTTTCTGGCGCGTGGCCATTGACAACGGTTTCCTGAGCTTTTGAACTGGTGGCAGCTTCAGATCTTCACGTACAGCTGACTGTAGCTCTGAGGTGCTCTGCAATGAAGACCTCATCAAACACACACACACACAGAGGCACACACACACACAGAGCTCACAATCTGCTCGATCGCCCTAAAAGATTTCACTTGATTTGGAGCGTCATTAAAATCAAAATTGAAGAGTTGCCACTCCTTTGGCACTTGATCTATGCCATCTATTTGAAGTTTTTGAATTTGAACCGTTAGATTATAAGTATATTCAGAAATAATATTCTAAAAATGGAATAAAAGACACCAGATGCCATATGCCAATAGCACATTTAAATAAGGGAGCATGATGACTAGCAAAAGTCCCAGCTACGCTGGGAGCATCATATTTATTCATGATGTTTTAATAATTTCAAAGAGTTGTAATCGTAATTATAAATTTTAACATAATCATAATTATAAGATACATAGTTAAACATAATATAATATTTATATTAAAAATCACTTCTACAATTGACTTTATCACCAACACATATCATAACATAATAAATATAACTCATAACATTATATTACATTTAAAACTCTAATTGCTAAGTGAAGTTTTGGATCTTCTATAAATGGACTTGCTCATTGTGGGAACCCATGGCCAGATGAGTCATTTAGAGATTGAGATTTGGTAACTAATTTTTTATTTTATTTGAATTCTCTATATAATTAATAAAAATTATTATAAATATTCTATTAAATTTTTTCAATTATGTTAAAATATATATTTAACTCACTTAAATATACATCTTGTAAATTTAAAAAATATAAACATTATTATGGAGTTTAGTTTTTCATCTTTTCAGACTGAAAGTTTTGGAATTGCATAACACTAAATGAAAATTGTTACCTTTATATGTTTTATATTTTATTCTAAGAACTTTAAATATTTACATATTTATCTTTGATATTCCCTTTGTGCCTAATATTTATATTCATGTATTTTGAGAGTAATATTTAAAATTAGAGGTATTCTATTATATATCATACATTATTTTTTTAAATTTTATTTAGAGAGAATGCTAATCTGAAATAACATTATTATTTTCTATATTCATGTATTTATATTTAAAATTAACACTTTATAACAATGTTATAAATGCTGAAATTTTATAATGATAAATGACTTGTGAAGTTTTACTATAAAGTGGGGTAGAGTAAGGTTTATTGATATATAATTTTTTTCTTTATGCTAGAACTCTACTATCATTTGTGATAGTTGATTGTTCTCATTAAGAGTTTTGCTTGGTTGTTGTTAATAGTGAATAATTTATTATTCTTTGGGATGGTGGGTTATTTCTTCAACAATGATAAGAACTCTTAATATTTTACATATTTATCTTTGATATTCCTTTTTGCCTAATATTTATATTCATATATTTTGAAAGCTTGCAATTACATATAATTCTTTAAACGTTAAAAATTCTAAAATATTTCATACTTTCTATAGGATGGATCCAAAGAAAATTCACAAAATAGATACAATTAAATTTCAGTTGATGATATATGGTCCATGTACTAATGTTGTTTCAATCATATTTATATCTTATTATGTTTTTCATGTATAAATGCAATATAAGATAAAGTTTAGAAAATTTATGATATCATATAAATCTTAGACTATATCTTAGCCAATTGACAACTCAATGTGTTTAATTTCATATATGTTAGTATTAAAAAGTACCATAAGATTATTGATAAAAAAAATATTTTACACAACAGTTAGACATAATAACTCCTCTATTTTAAGTTAGAATATATCATATTTTAATAGACACTATTTTCTTTATATTCTACTTTAACATATTTTTTATGTGTTTTTGCATTATATTAACATCTTGTACAATCACATCACCTAATGACATCCACATTTTTTTATTTTCTCTTGCTACCCATTCCCAGAATTCCAAATTTATATTTCCATTGTTCATAAGCTAGTGCAAGTTCTCTAGATTTCAGTAGCATAGATAGGTGATAGATCTGCTGTAGATCATTATGGCAAGAAAATGTTTCTTATTGGTAAGATGTTGTTTCTTTGTATTCAAGAAAACATAGCAATAGCACAATAGAATATAGAGATTCCTTGTTTTTGCAGGTCACTCTTCTGGATTGTTTCTTCTTGCACATTTCTTGATGTAAAATCCACAATGAATGTTCTAGTTTTCTTAGGTTTGTGAATTGGAATGACGTGCAGACAAATTGTTTTTGTATAACCGTACAATCTCCATCTCAAACTCGTGTATGTTTTGCGAGTGGTGATTGTCAAGCCACTTGGTCCCTGCTTTCTTGCCATAATTCAGGCGGGAGCAATGATCAACCGCCAAGTTGAGCATCATCTTTCTCAGTGGTCCTCTAAAGCTTCAACAAGCTGTTTAGAGTTGTGGATTGCAGTGAAAGAACTTTCTGTGGAGGCTTTTCCATTGTCCTGAAAATGAAACACCACACTCAAAAGAACCCTTGAAACTTGATTGGATGCTTTTCTGGAGAAAGCTCTGCCAGGATTCATCATCCAGCCTTTTTTTTTAACACATGATTCTCTTTCTTTGCGAGTTTCTTTTCTGAGTTTTCGGCTCATATAGCCACTTCTCGGACACAGCCACAGTCAACCATTTCCTCCGGTTTGAATATGCATTTTTTGTGGTTTCCATCCCATTGTTTCCGTGAATGATGTTACTGACGATAATAGTTTGAGAAAAGAACTCTACCAAAGAAGAAAGAACATTTAGAAGAAAAGAAATATTCAGATATTTTACATTCTCCTTTTTTATAACATGAACTTCCAGGAAATCCAGGGTGTCACAGACCACATATCATATGTCTTGCATAGCATAATAGAATAGAGATTTCTTGTATGTGCAGGTCACTCTTCTGAACTGTTTTCTGCCTGCACATTTCTTTATGAATCCTCTAAGTGTTCTTAGGTTTGTGATCTGAAATGACATATAGACATTTTTTTTTTTGTTACCTAAAATCTTTACAAGAACGAGCAAAATAATAAATAAAATCAAATACACACATGTGAGTGGAAATCATTTCTATGCCCTGAGTTAATGTGCAAATATCATGTACCGAATCAAACAAATCTCATGGCTTCAAAGGTATGTCTATAGACACACACATGCACAACAGTTTCTTTAATGCTGTCTGATTCCATAAAAAATATCTTCTAACAACAGATCATGACATTGTCTGAATAAGAAAGTAAAGTCGAAAAGAAGAACTAATCTGATCCAGACAGGCTGCTTTATGTTGCCATGAGCGTATCTTTTCTCAACATAATTCCAAGAATTAAGACAAGTCACAGAGCACAAACTTGGTGTGAGTGAAACATGAAACTATCAAGAAGCGTAACCAGGCTTTTAGAGCATCCAAAATTGTTTCTTGCGTATTTAAGCAAGGAACATCGAGGACTGTAGGAATGACTTTGCATTCACGAGTTTTTATTATGAAATATCTCCATATGCAGATCTGGTCAAGTGAGCAATTTCCTCCTGAGAACAATATGAGATGTAGTCAAGAATGAATTTTAAAATAAGAACAATTAATTTGTTAGAGTATGTATTTAAAAATGCTGGTACAGATAAAGCTCAGTGTTTTTTTACACTCAGGAATGCTTTGAATACGGCTGAATGATCATCTCCTCTAATCACCAGTAAGTCTTTTAGCACTTCAATGAGCTCTTCATAAGTCTTTGCAACAAGGTTGATTAAGAATACCTTCAAAACCAAAAGAAAGAGTATACATCTATAATAATAAAGGTTCAATTACCAGATTCTGGCAACCATCTCTGACACTCAAGAAGCTAGAAAAAAAAATCCTCAACTTACTTCTGTTGTCACTACTCCTGGAAAGGGTCATAGTCTAAACTTCAATCATGAATCCAAGAAGTTCTTTGATTCAATTTGTCTGATCAGAAAACATTAGAAAAGGATTGTTATGGCCCAAGTGTTGTCAAAGTTGGGTGGCTCAGAAAGGTTGCACAAGTCACTTAGTTCCGGAGGTAGATCCTCTTGTTATATGGCACCACAAACACAATGGTCATCTGGGTGCTTGTCTTACTCTTTACATTTTTTTCAACAATGCTTCAAGGTACGACTGGAGAGCTTTGCTAGAGACGCCCATCTTATACATATTATATGTTATATAAATCTGTTTATTCTTTTAAAGGCATTTCATTCGCTCTCACTCATCACGTACTACTAATGATGGAAGTGGCCACTATGAAGAGGAAGCTCCAAGACATGTGTCATACTCATCTTCCCCAAGTTGCTCGAGTAGCTGATATTTCACATATATCTTAGTATTATAGATAATAAACTACACAACTTGAGTCACATGTAAAGTCATTGGCTGCCTCTTTGTCAATGCCACTTTGTTTCAGTGCCAGCCCCTGCAAAAAATGGTGAAAGAAATCTATCCAAGAGCTTTTAACTCACGATCAAATATTGACAGCAATCCAGGTGGCTTGAAGTACTTGTTTGTTGCGATCACAACTTTCTCAAGCAGAGAATTTGAATTATCTGAGCAGTCATCTGGCTTGATGTGCAGTTGAAAATAACAGAAACAAATGTGATGAATTTAACTATGTGCCTTGTAGATCTCTCTAGAGCAAGGCCAAGGCCTATTCTCTGTGTTGTATTTATCCTGAAATCCTGACACAAGAACAAAGTCAGATTCCAAAAACTTTTACCAAGTTTGACACGGCAGCATTGCTTTCTACACGTCTGGGAGTGACCCTCTCCTTCTCCAAGCCACAGATCCACCAGTCTCCCACACAACTTGAGCACCGTGGAGAGGCTTATGGCAAAACCATCACAAACAAACAGCTCCAGACACTGGTGGTGATCGTCCCAAGTGACAAATGTTCCCCAAAGACCACCTTCTTGCCAATCCCAGCATCAGCAACATCTACGACACAGCGCTCTGGCAAGCCATCTTGTCAAAGCTGGCTGAGAATCCACCAGGCTTCCACATTTCATGTACATGTCCTGTTTATCAATTTTCTTATACT